GGACAGTCTTTAGCAGTCTGCTGTCTTCAGAGGTGATTCTGGAGCTCTGAAAGATGCACCTGTGTCTCCTTTCAGCTCTTTGAGAATCTGAGCATGCATATGTACCATTTTTTCCTCTTCTTTTAAAAGTAGTCTATTTTTACATTTATTTCCTCTGTATCTTCTCCCTTCCCCCTCTTCTCATCCTGATTCCATCTCAATATTTTGCAACCAGAACTGAATGGTAAGTTTGATCGCCACAGAAGCACTCTATTTGTAAAAGAAGGAGGGAAGGTGCAGACACAGGATGTTGGTAGATAGCAGAACATAGAAGCCTAATATCAGTTGTTGTTTTTTTTTTTTTTAGTAGGATGAGTTGTTACAAGCTAGGATTCAGTTCCAGGGTATGTGAACTGCCCTATAAGAAGAAATTCTTTTCATCTTGACCCAGTCTGTTGGGACACAGAGCCACAGATAAGGTGTCAAGATGAGGTTGCAGCCCTAACTCTGTCTATATTGATTCTTGGCAAGTCTCTTCATTGATGGAGGGCATTTTCTTCATTTCTTCTAAGAGTCGTTAGATATTAAGGTCATCTGAAGCTTGACAGCGCTGCAGTGTGAAGATAGCTACCATTCACTGCTATCAGTGTACTGTTGGTATAGATGTGAAGACTGTTACTGGCCTCCCCTGACATTGAGTCTCTCCTTGGCCAAACTTTAGTCAGGCTTCAAACCTTCTCCTAGGTCCATCTGTGTATTCCTAGGTCTAGTTTTAGCAAAGAATCTCCCATTCTTGATACCCGATCACCCTTCATTTCTGATAAGCTTCCTCGTCCACCACCATGTATGTTGTAACCAAAAAGCAGGTCAGTTGCTCCCTGCATGCAGAATCCAATGAACAAGAGTGAGGCCTGGTACAAAAATAGTGAATTTATTCTGAAGTGAGCTTGGGAAAGGGGCACAAAACTCCTTGCCTTTAAATGTACTGATTCACCTCTGGAGCAGAAAGCAGACACTTTTACAAGGTAAAGGGGACAGTGAGCAAGGGCAGGGGTTTCTCCTGCAAGCCTGGTGACTTATCTACCAGACAGTAGAGTCAGCACCTGCCCAGGCAGAAATGAGTTGGAAAAGTGGTCAAGCTGGCATGCTTTCAATATGCCCTTAGGTGGATGGAAGCCTTGAGGCAATTCCTTGCGGGTGGCAGTTGCCCCTGCTGGAGGTGACAGCTCCCTGGCTGGTATGCTTTGGCCTGCAAATCCACTGTCAGCTCTGGAGGAGAGACCTATGTTGGAGGACAGAGTAGGAAGAACTTGCCCTGCAGGGGATGTCTGGTGAGGGGGAGGTGAAAGGTTATATTTGCATTTCTAAAGGGCTAGGTAGGAAACAGGGAACTCACGGAAAGGAGAGAGAAGAGAACATGCAAAATAATAGTTAAAAAATGGGGGCACTAGGTTCAAATGTCCCTGGTGATGTCTGTGCACCCTGGCCTACCTTCAGCAAGAGTCCTGTGAGGTCAGTTTAGCCAGAATGCCCCTTACCCCGATGTTCCCCTTAGTAATTTTCCATTGACTGCCCCCCACCGTGTTCCTTGGCTAGGTATTTCCACTTGCCTATGCTGTACCCAGAATTGAGCCCAGTCTCTTCCCCAGCAGCCAGACCCCTGTGCAGCGGTCCCCATACCTTTCACAGTAGTCTTTAATAAAGTCATCCTTAACTTGCTTTAAAGCATAGCATTGATTTTTTTTTCCTTTAATATCCCTTAGATTCTTACTCCAAGAAACCTCCTTATTAAACATGGAATAAGTCCATGGTCTGTGCAAAGTCTAGTTCTTAGATGTGCATAATGTGTAACTTTTCACTGCCTTTTAAGAAGGGGTTTTAGACTTACACTTGGCTGCAATGCTTCTGATGTTCTGGGAGTTCATGTCAAGCCAAAGAATGAGGTTGCCACAGGAAGACTTGATTCAGGCAGACTGGCAAACAGCCCTCATCTTCACTTTTCTTTCTTTCTTTCTTTTCTTTTTTTTTTTTTTTTTTTGCATTTTTGCACAAAATCCCCTTTCACTCCCACCCTCTGAGCAGACTGGCTGTTTTACTTTCCCTAGAGCAGTGGATGTGGTTAAAGGCTTTACTTTGCAGGCAGTTACATGGTTCTGACAATGAAAATCAAGTCAGATCTTTGTGTCTGGACCCCCAGGACCCAGCTCAGTGCCTAGAAGGCAGCAACCCCCAATATTTCTATGTTGAATGCATGAGAGGTCAACAGTAAGGTCAAGTATGCATTCATGTCAATAATGAAGACCTGATTAGCAGATAAAATAAATACTTCAATAATCCTCAGAAAAAAAGAATAACAATCCTGGATTCATCACATTCTATTAAATTTTTATGATTAAAAAAATAGGTATTGTAAAAAAGGAAAATACAAAAAAATCCATAATTTCACCATCTAGTAAACATTTCTGTGTTTATATTTTATATATAATTCTTTTCAAAATAAAGATTTTCCTACATTTTTATTTAACATTGCATTGCTAATTCATTAAATATTTTTCAAGAAGGGTTTGTAGTGACTGTTATTATTCTACCAAAGTATATTTATTAGAGGCAAATGCCCCTCTATCCTAATTCTATACATGAAAAACACACTAAAAAAATGATGTGAACTGCCCAGCATTCCTTCCCCAGGAGGATTCTTGATCCCAGTGGCTTTTGTTTGCCAATGTGGCACTTTCAGAGACTTACAGAAGAGACAAGCAAACAATACAAATTATTGCCTCCCCCATGAGTGTGTCTCTAACTTAATAATGGCTCTTAAGCATGGCTGGTTTAAGTCACTCTCCCCTAATTTTATTCAGGAGCCTTTGCATGCCCTACCCCCACTAAAATACAAGGTTTCTGAAATCAGGGTTTTTTATTTCTCAGTGTTCTATGGGCTGCTCTTCTCACCACACATTCCTGCCCAGCATCTAGCAGACCACCTGAAGTTTTCACACCGGGAAGTCTTAGATCCTGTTTGGGAGGGTTTGAATTTCAAAAGCCCCATTAAAGCTCCCCATTTCCTTTGTAACCAACATTTGCCTCAAGAGTACTCAGGGACCAACTACAAAAAGCAGCCACTTGCTTCTTTAGAAAGACATTCCTCCAAGTGTAAGGAGAATTGCAAGAAAAAGAGAAATAAAGGGTAAGAAAGTAGCAAATGAAATCATCTTTTCTCCTGATTCCTGGCTCCAAGAAGGCTGGTCAGGCTGCAGCAGCTCTTGGGAACATGTGTCAGCTGAGTGGACAACAGAGTGTGTGTACGGGGGTGGGTGGGCAGCAGCAGTCCCCACAGAATTTTGAGCTGGAAGAGGACAGTGAAGACCATTGGGAGCTGGTTTCTATCTCTCAATTAGATTTACTCTGATTTATCAGGTGATAGCCAGGAGCCAAAACCATCAGTTGTGGGACCCTCATGGGAGACACGGGGCGGGAGGGTTGCCCCTACTTCTGTCTCTGGGACCTTCCCATCCAGTACTCTGGGCCACCCTGTCTGTGGGCAGTAGCCTAGCCCTGCTGTGTTATATATTTAAATATCTACCAGCACCCTTGCTTGTCATTATCTTAAACAGTTTATAGAGATGAATGTCTACAATATTAGTTAGGAATTTTGGTACGTTTTGCTAAATATAAACAACTTTGGTTTATAATATTCATACAATCAACCTACACTGATGAATAATACTTACAAACACTCCTATATTAGAGATGGAGTAGTTACATAGTAGTATAGGATAGAGAAATGAAGGGCCTTCAGTCCATTAAGACTTTCCCCCAGACTCTCTCTGGGACACTGCCTAGCACAGGCTCTCCCCAGCCAAAGTCTCATTCCATTCAGACGTGACCTGGGACATATCATTTCCCTTTGCGGTGCTTTATCAGACAGAGGCAGCCACAAAGAACTGGGCAAATATCAGTGCTAAACTGTGGCATGACTAATTTTTCTCTTATCCTGGCTGCTGAGCAAATGAACAAACCTTCCTCCTGTGTGTTTAAAAATATATAAAAGTTTGCTTTAAAATAAGCACCTCCCCACCCCCCACCCAAAGGCACTCAACCAGTGCATGGAAAAGTGTGTGGAATGTGCTCACATCCTGCGTAATTTAGGGAGAATTTTCTCGGAGTATTCTGTCCACAGGATGTAGCCTTGCCTGGCCTTGGGTTGATTAACTTAAAGGCCAGATGGAGAAACAGTCCCCAAATAGCACTGCATAACTTTCAACAATTCTTTAATTTTCTTGACTGTTGAGGCATAGCCAAATAAGAACTTACCTAGGAATCAGAAACAGCTGAAGAGCAATTGTAGAGGAGAAAAAACATATTGAAAGCATAGAGACAACTCCTAGGCAAACTGCTTTCAAGAAACCCATTCTATTCCGGGTTTAAACAGCTGAGCCAATATTTGCCTCTGCCATAATATCTCAGTCACATATTCCCCTTTGCTGGTCCTTAGTTTCTCTCTCTGTGAAGATGACTATGCCCCATTTCTTCTTTTTTTTTTTCATTTATTTTTAGAAGCTCTTAGTGGAACATGTATTCAGAGATTTCACAGTGAGCTTCCACATCTCCCATCGGGGCGGGAGAATTATTGACCCCAGTGGCTTTTATTTGCCAATGTGGCACTTTCAAAGACTTACAGAAGAGACAAACAAACAACACAAATGGAGAGAATCCCAAATGGAAACATGCATGTATATTTGAAAACAGGTATGCAGACATGTGCAGATGGCCTTCTCCCTCTCCCCATGCACATACACAGAATCACATGACTCTATGAATACACATACAAGCAGTTGTGAACAGACAAAAATATATGCATGGCTAACTATTTACACAGCCACACCTGAAATCAAATAGACCCACACCTACTCTTAAATATTCTCCATCAGTTTCCCACTATAAGGTTAGAGATCAAACTAACCTTGACCTCTTTCATACTCCCAGCCCTGTTCTTCACCAAGGTTATGACTGCAGTCATGGGATCCAAGGATCCAAACACACATTTATTGAGATGCTGTACCAGGTATGGGGAACATTGAGAATACGAGAGTCCCTCCCGAGAGGGGCTTAGGTCTAATAGAGGAAGGAGATGCACACAAAGCTACAAAGCCACATGAGAAGCGCTCTAAAGGAAGTGACCACAGGAAGTTGGATATATTTCTTTGATCCTGAGGTCTGGACAGAAGGCAATCCTCATTCTTCCTTCAGAGGATACAATGGAGACCCAGAGAAATCTGCTCAGCACCAGTAAGCTGGAAGCCATGCTACCTTCCGCCCAATTCTCTGTAGGGACGCTGTGCTGGCTTCAGTCCCTGGGTCCTACTCCTAGTTCAGCCTCTCTTGCTTGCCCCTCAGGCATGCCTTGTGGTAGGAGCTGAGGAACAGAATGAGGAGGCTGAGGGCTTACAGGAGCACAGACATGTTGAACTCATCAGGGAAGGGGTACTCGATGAGGAGACTGTAGGAAGAGGAGGCAGCAGTGGCCACAAACTGACCCTGGGCAAAAGAAAGCGTGAGAGGAAAGAAAGGGAGAGCAGTCAGAAGCAGTGGCCAGAAAGGAGCAGGTGCTCTCTTGGGTCCCTCTGTGTTAAGGCTGAGGGCGGGCCTGCCACGGCACAGGAAGAAGAGAAGCAATGAAGCCTGTCAAAGCGCAGTTTTTCCCACACCATGGTCCCAAGAACCTTCTTGACACTTCTCCTGGTCCTGGTTGCCCCAATTTCCCTATCCAGCTATGTCATGGTGGCCTTGATGATAAACTCAGTCTATTCAGAGCCCCATATGGGACACTTGAGGCTGTCATTATCATCTGGGGGGCAGTGGTGCTCCCAAAACTGCAAGGCATCCAGGCACTTGGAGGGTGCAATTGGTGATCACAGGATATTAATGCTTAGAGGTCATCTGGCCAAGGCCTTCATTTTATAGATGATGACATTGAGGCCTGAGCATGGAAGCCACTTGTTCAAAGTCCCACACTGTCCCAGTGAATTAGGGTTGGTTCCAGGATCTGATGAGATGACTACGGAGGCCCTTGCAAGTTGGGAAGCTAAGGAAGATCTAAGGATGAAGAGGGCTTGTTTGTGGGCAGATGCCAAGTCACTGGTATAGAATGACAAACCAAGAACAGAACCAAGGGCTCAGCCGAGGACCCTGGACCCAATAGGGTCTCCTTACCAGCTGTAGGGTGATAAGACATCGTTTCCACCAGAGGTAGGGCCACATAGGAAGCCACGGCCTGGCCAGTCCATAATACACGTACATGAAGACATGGACCAAAGAATTAAGCATTCCTATGAAGAAGGCTGCAGAGTGGGGTGGGGAGAAAAAGGAAAATAAGTGTGACTGGGCTTAACTGTGATTTGGGAGTTCTCTTTGATGTTTCGATCCTCCACGCTGCAGGGAGCACCTCTGCGATCTCTATAGAGAAAATCCTTCGAAAGACCCTATCCTGCAGAGGTCCACCATGAGCCCTCTGAGGTCGTGGTGATGGAGGGATGGAGTTATCGAGGTGCTAAATGAGAGCGTTTCTACTCCCTTTGTACTCTCTGGGATGGTGGCTATGTGCATCTCCCAGCAGCCACCTCTCCATCCCAGAGACAGGTAGCCCGGGAGCTCTGAGAAGCCACAGGGACAAATGGGAGCAGAGGCCTGGTCTCATGGCCTCAGAAAAGGGAAAAGTTAGAGACCAAACATGATATTCCAGGGACGCAGGTCTCCTGAGCTGGGACTCAGCCCAGCAGACCTGCCTTTACAAGGGCCTGGGGCAGGGCTGTCCAGGGCGCGCATCATTTACCTGGCCGCCTGCTGCATATTCGACTCCAGACCAACCATCACAGGGCATGGCGCCATGGCGGTAGAGTTGCAGAAAGGTGGGCTGCTTTGCTTTCATTCATAAAGTAAAGAACACCTGGAGAGGAGGAAGAGATGATGACGTCAACTCTGGGGGTCTCCTTTCTCCAGACTCTTCTCCTGGGGCCTCAGTTATCCCTTAGAGCGGGACACGGTGATTCTACCTTTTTTACTGAAGGAGAGACTGAAACGAAAGGCAAATAACAGCAATCGAACACCAATTTTTGACCTACTATGTCCTTTAATTGAGGCTTTTGAAATTCAAACCCTCCCAATCGGGATCTAAGGTCTCATAGTGTGAAAGCTTCAGGAGGTCCAGATGCTGGGCAGGGATGTGTGGTGGGCAGAGGAGGGAAGAGAACATGATTCTACTTTATGCGTGTGAAATAATCACTTAAACACCGCATAGTTGTATGCAGTTCATACTCCTGTTACTTACATTTTACAGAAAAAAACAAAAACAAAAAATACTGAGGCACAGAAAGGTTAAGCAACTTGACCAAAGGCACGCAGCTAATAGGTGGCCTAACTGGGATCGGAACAGTCTGGCTTCAGAGACTGGGTTCTTCCCAGTGGCTGGTCCTTGTCCCCCAGGGCGCTGGAGTAAGAATTCAGGTGTTGAATGCTCAGCCCAAGATCCAGACACCCACACAACACATTCCCATGTGTTCTCTGCTGAGACCATTTTGGCAAGAGACTGAGTAGAAAGAGCCCCTCTCTTCATCACCAGCCACACCAACATTATGTTCTTGTCTCACCCTGCTTAATTCCAGAAGCCCCCTGGCCTCACCAGCAAGGCCTCTTCTCAGTAACAGGGAAGGATGGCTTTTTCTGTCTGATAATCCTTGCTATATCATGTCAGTTTTGAAATTTGTTTAACTTTCCATTTGAATCTTACCTGGAACCTGGATATTAAGGTGGCAAATGCCTACTTCTGCTTCTGTGGATAGGGAGCAGGGAGCATGGGAGCCGGCAGACGGGGACACTACCTCAGTGGCTGAGCATCCTTCCCCCGCCAGGTACTGGACCAAGGCTTTACTCTGAAATGAATCTCTGGCACAGCAGCCGGGGCAAATCCAGAGAGCATTCTTGCTGGGTGAGTCAGACACCACCCCAGATTTGGCTGACAGATACACAGGAGCCCGTGGGTCCCAGATCTCACCTGTCATGCAATTCAACAGCCTTCAGAAAGCGGCACCAGCAGCACACGCTCGCCATCTGCTGGGCAGAAAGGGGAAGTTCATCAGACTGCAGTCCTGCTGGTGCCACAGCTCGTCCTTGCTGGTCTGGGTTCAGCCTCGAATCCTCACTGTTCTATGCACCGCTGATCACACAGTCCTACCTGTCTGCAGGTAGATGCCTGTTAGCACAGGAAAGAAGGGGAGAAGCTACTGGAGTGACCACAGAAGGACTCTCCCAATGTGCCCCAGCCCAGAACCTTGCAATCTAATGAGCATGTGGGCATTTTGTTCATTGAAAAGCAGATTCTTAATCGGTGTGCATGGGGTGGAACGTGAGATTCTGCATTTCCCACAAGCTCCCAGATGATGCTGATGCTGTCAGCCCCAGGATCATACTTTGAGTCACAGGACTTCAGCCCATCACCAACATCCAGTGACTCAACATACATATCACCTGGTGACAAGCCTCAGCTACCTGGTGACAAGCCTCAGCTAGAGTCTTTTGTTACAAGGAAGGTTTTTTTTTTTCTGCTTCCAGTGGAAACGGAGAACAGCTAACAGTGATGAAGCTACCACTTAGCTACCACTCAGTGTGTGCTGCCCCATGCTAAACACTTTCATATATGATCTATCATATACTATCTGATTCCATCTTCTTTCAATCATTTCCCTTTAGAAAATAGGTATTATCATCTCAATTTTGTAGGTAAGAGAATTGAGTCCCAGAAAAGTTAGGTGTGCCACCCACAATCACACAGCAAGGAAATGGCAGAGCTGAGATCCAACCTGAGGTCCAAGGTCATCCGACTCCAAAGCCTGCACATAACCAGCCAGTCCCCTGCCTCTCATCGAAAGGCTCAGGCAACACCTCCTTGACCTCAGATTGTTATGAAGTTCTCCCTCCTAACCTTCTGCTTACCTTCTGCTCCCTGCCATACCCTCATTCCACACTTGCTCCAGCCGTAGTCCACTGGCTGACGGAAGTAGCTGCAGTTAGCCAGGAGCAGGGTGGTCATGACCTGGGAGGAAAAGGAAAGAGGAAAAGACCAAGTCAGAAAGCTTGCTCCCACCATGGTGAGCCCCAACAGGCTCGGACTCCTGAACACCTCCACCCAGTGCAACCTTTGCTGACACTTGGTCAACATCTGCTAATAAAAGAAACTCCATGGGGTGGCCAGATCAGAGGCACCAACGTGCATACATCTTTCTAGTCTCTAATTTTTTAATGTGGGCAAATATAGACTACAAACCCACCCTGGGTGCCTACTATGCCTGCAAGTCTAAGACAGGTGCCGAAGACACCAAGGCGGTCCACACGTCAGCCCTGCCCCAAGGAGCTCCAAACCTGGCTGACAATGTAGAAAAAAATCCTAACCTTACAGGTTGGCGCTAGAGGAAGAGTAGAAAAAAACAGGTGTTGCAGGAGTTGGAACAAAGAATAAGGAGGCTTTGGGCAGACAGAGGGGAGGGAGTGTCAGTTTCATGCCAGGACAAGAGTATGTGGTACCTGGACCTGGGGGGCTAGCTAGGGGATTATCAGGACTGGCGTGGAAGCACTGACCATAGGAGAAGGGGCCACAGAATTGGAGAGACATGAGAATTGTGAATAAAGGGTCTTGAACGCTATTGTAAGGTGCTTGAATTTTATCGCTTGTTGATTTCTTTGACAATAATGTGTTGAATGGGACTAAGCACCGTGCTGGGCACTGTTCTGAGCACTGGATCACATTGATAAAACCAAGCAGATGCAGACCTTGGGGGACTTGGCATTCTGGCCATATATGCAAAAGGACATGCGGAGGCTTCTGAGCAAGAAGCTGACCGTGGGCATGGCAGAGCTCGCAAGGGATTGGGGTGGCAGGAGAGTGCCTGGTTGCCGTAATTAAGTGACAAATTCTCTAGAGCATGCCTTAGGCCTCATGAGTTATTGGTATCCCTCACGTGCTGTCAGATGTTATGCTGGTCTGTCTTTAAACAAATAAGACATGGGTCCTGCCTTTGAATCACTTGCCATGTAGGAGGGGAGAAAGACACATATGAAAGTGGTGACACAGCCGGAGAAAGACCACAGTCAGCGGGGGTCAGTATATCCTTAACAGGCTCCTAAGGCAGAGGAGCTGTCTGCAGGGTTTGCCAATTCCTATGGTGTAAATATTCCCACCATGGTGGAGGGGCTTCAAGTTGCTTCACACAAAGTCACTGAACGTGAAGTTGCAGGGAGATGCACACCCGGTGCTCACCTGCGGCTGGAGCGGCTCCAGCCCACCTCAGAGAACCAGGACTGCACCAAGAGGTGGGAACAGCTAAACAAGGAAACAACCTGGCCCTAGAGGAGTCAGGGAAGGCACCCTGTGAAGCGACAACCGACCTGAATCCAAAGGATGTGCAAGAATTTGTCAGGAGACTGGGGGACAAGAGCAGTTCTGGGAGAGAATCAGTGATGTGCCCAGGCCTGAAGACTTGCTGAGCATGGCTGTACGGACTGGTGAGCAGGCCTGTGCGGGACTAGGGTGGTGTGCAGGGCTGCTGAAAGCGTGTAGAGGGAGACAAGGCAGAGAGGAAGGCAGGGCCAGAGAGGACTCCGGAGGGCTTCGTGTGCCCAGGAGGGGAGTTTAGCCCCAGCCTCTGCGGGATGGGAAGCATCAGAGGCTCCTAGCAAGCAGTGGCACCATCCTGCCTGTTCTTGGGGTAGTTTATTGTGTCAGTAGGGTGGAGGATACACTGTGGCTGAGCCATTAGAAAAGAAGAGAGGAAGAGGAGTTGGAAGAGGTGTGGCCGTGTGGACCTGCTTCTTCCGTCTCTTCCCCGCTAGCTCACCAACAGGTGAGAGAGGTGGAGGAGGAGGCTGCAAGCTGTGCAGCCAGGGTGGCTGGTTTGCACCCTGCCTCTGTGTCTTGCCACCTGCTAAGTTACTGAACCCTTCTGTGCCTCAAACAGTGCTATCATGAGGATTAGATGAGCCTATCCTCCACAGCATGGGAAAACATCTGTGATGATCATTACCACCTTCTCTGAAAAGCTTGTCCTGACACCCTTACCCCTGGCCCAGAGACCGGCTTGCTGCCCCATCCCGCCTGCCCCTGGTGTATGATGCATCCTTTCTGTTGCCCACTCAACACGCAATGCCCACACCTGTCTCCCCTCTAGGCCGTGAGCCTCTGAAGGACAAGAAGTCCTGATCTAGCAGTGATTCTGCAGGCCACAGCACAACCTGGCACGAAGCATATACTTGATGTACAACTGCTGAATGACTTTTTGCAACGTCTGGAAGAAAAACCAGATTTGGGGATCAGAAAACCAGGCAGAGGTTAACAGAGCTCAGGTAGAAACAGGAGATGGCCCATACCAGGTGGGAGGGATAAGGAATTCCACTCTGGCTTGCCGCTGACCTGCACTTTTTCATGTAAGGAAATGGAAAGTGGAAGTTTGTAACAGGGATTGAGCAGCCAAAGACGGCACAGAATCCCAGCTCCTGCATGTGACCCCATCTAGGAGGCTTTTCAATCTGCTATGTACGAATATTATCGTTCTGTTCATCCCTCGGTCACCCCTCCAAAAAAGATCTTAGAACTCTCAGGGACCCCCGTCCACCAGCCTTACCTCCCAGACGTACCCTGAGAGATCGACCAGGCCCAGGTTGTAGACAGCCAGGACTGTCCCAGCCCCAGAAACTCCTGGTGGGACACGAAGCAAGGCCTGATGCCACCAGGAGAAGACAGAAAACTAGGAGGTGGGTGGCACGGAGTGGCAGTGCACCAGGAGCCAGGAATCCATCCTCGAGCCTAGACAAGCAGAGAAGTGACCAGTGAGCCGGCCACACTGCCCATGCGCCCCTAATCCTCCCCCACAGGAGCTCCCAAGGCCTTGTCAATCCAGCTCTTGTGCCCAAAAAGTCTAACACAGGCTGGCTGAGTAAATGGATGGAAGCTCCCACTGGATGGCATTCTCTCCTGCTTCTGTTTTTTAAGGGCCAGGGGTATTTATTCCAGGGCTTTTTCAGGGCACTGGCCCTTGTGAGCACCTATAAGTAGAAGCCAGATTTGGGTCTTGTCCAAACCACCACCTCGTCTGCTTCCCCTTTCCCTCCCCGGCAAACCGTTGACTGAGAGTCTCCAAGCTGAAGTTCCTCAGTCTCTCCCATCTGACCCCCAGCTATGTTGCCCCAGCACTCCTGCACTGGGACACTGCACCACCACCTACCATGCACTTTGGGGAGCCTCCATTGGCCATCACTTCGCGCCAATCGTCACACCTTTTGCTGGTCTACTTGGGATTTCCAGCCCCTGGCAGTGGCCTCCAGATTGCAGGGTACAAGAGACATGGATGTGGCTACTTGGCAGCAAGAGGGGGACCGAGGGGCACAGAGGCACAAAGGTCTCCCCTTTCGGCTGCACAGTGCCCGCCCTCCTAAGCATCCCTGGCTCCTCCCACTTCTCATGGGCTCAGCCACACCCAGTCCTCCACAGCTTGACTTACACCTCTGGCTTCTCCCAGGCTCCTCTGCGCAGCGAAGGAAGTGGCTCTGGCTGCTCCGGTGTTGCCAGCTGGTGGTGGGTTTGAGCGAAGGGTCCTCTGGGCTCCAGGGTGCAGGGCACGACTCATGGGCAACGCCACCCTCCCAGAAACTCTCTACTGCTGGGCTCTGATCCTTTGTTGACCCCAGCCCCAGCCCCTACACACCCACACATACACACAGGCACTCACACGTATGCATGCACACATGCACACACACACACGCACACACACACACACACATACACACACAATTGTTGACAACTGGGAGCTGAGGCTGCCGTCCAGGCCGTGGCTGGGCTCCCTGACACTTTCATGGCCCAAGGGAGAAAGAGAACAAGAGGCAGCAGGGGTGAGAGGAGAGCACGCAGAGGGCAAAGGACGATGGTAGCACCTCCGGAGAGGGGTGGGGAGAAACAGAGATGGGCACCACCCAGCACTAGGCAGACACCCACATCCTCAGGGCATCCCCACGGCCTGCGGCTCACACTCATCCTTCAGAGCAGGGACCACCCTATCAGACACTTGGACAGGCATGTGGAGGACACGTGCCTCTCCCGTCTCCACCAGGGTAGGCCACTCCTCTTGTCTCAGAGTTCAAACTTCCTCTGCCATCCTTCGTTCCCACTGTTAAGGAGTAAGTGCTTCTCTTTCTTAATCTGCTAAGTCCACACCCCTCCTCTAGCTCCCCCTCACTAATAGGCTGAGAAGTATGGGGAATTGGAAATCCCAGATCCAGGCAGCCCTCTTCCCCCATCCTGCCTCTATCCACCTGTGCCGGATGAGAAGCGATTACAATGGCCGTTCACCCAAATAACCTCTCTTAGGCACACCCTTTCCCTCTTTATGAGATGCAGGAAAAGAACCAACTTTGGAAGCCAGATCCCTGAAGGAAGAGGCGCGGCAGCCCACACCCCGAGTCTTGCTCCACAGTGATTCAAGGGCAGCTCCCAGAACCAGGCTCTTTAGAATAGAGTGCCCCAGTTTCTTCTTCTGACAAGATGGCACACTGTCTTGTGAAGGCTCGTAAAGAACCATGTCTGTGTAAGCCCCACATTGTCCATGCTCACAGATAAGAGGGTTAAGCGCTTCAAAGAACTAGAAGAGGTCAAGGTACCTTCAGAAGCATGGCAGGCCACACACACTCGTTACATGCATGCACATTTGCACATGATGCCAAAGGCCCTCATTTTGCCCTGTCCTGGACTCTATTGGGAAAGATTCCCAGCTGGTTTCAGTTAGAAGACAAGCCCTCCTACATTGTCATATGTCATTTTCCATAAATCAAGTTGAAATTATTCCACTGGGGCTTCAAGGTTGCCCTTACTCTGGCTAGGCCATCCCCTCGATCCCCTCTGACCTTCTGGCAGAAGCAGAGATCAATGTGCTGCTCTTGCCACCTCCATGAATCCCTTCTCCCTGCCCTCTCTGGCATGCACATGCCCATGTCCACTTCTTTGGTCTGTCCGCGATTCCTTCTCCACTGACTGTTCACACCCAACCATCAACCTTGCTGACCCAAAGCCCCTCCTCGGCCACAAAGCCTCCCACTCCTCTTCCCAACTGCCCACAGGACTAGCGCTGTCTGTACCTAGAGTGTGGTCTATAAGTTTGGTATTCCAGAGTAAATGACAAACTCCCTGCAGGACATGACCTCACACTGCACTTAACAGATGGATGGAAACATCAGGAAAACCCCAGGGTGATGTGTCAGGAAGATAAAAACCTTCTAGCTCAAAGCTTTGGCCATCACTCTGCTGGTAACTCTCCCCTGTGTCTTCATAAAACTGTCCCCTCATGTGTAGACAGCACCTTAAAATTGATATGGGAAACTCTTGGGAAGTCTCTTATATAGCACCTGAGAGGCTGTGGTGCCATCCCCCAGAAGTAGATCAGATCAACAGAATGGGGCTATGAATTTTAGGCCAGCTGCATCATAGCCAAGTGCTCTTTCTCAGAGCTCAGCCATATCACATAGCCGCTGTAAAGGAGGAGGCCATGGACCCCCTGCGACCACCCCCTATTAAACAACCTTTGGGCTTATAGATCATATGGATTAGGGAGAAGTTTATCTACCCACATCCTGCAGCTGTAAAATAAGATCATGGCTGCATGCTACCGTAGAGTCCTTCTGCCCAAGCAAAACAATGAAAGGACTCCTAACCTCATTCCTCCCCCTGCGCAACCCACCATGCCCACAGAACCTCAGCTGCAGTCGGTGGGGAAAGTCCTCAGCCACCTGCCCCCACTGCCAGGTGAACTGAGCCATCCTGAGGCCCTGAGAGCCAACCTGCCCCACCTGAGAGCAGAGGACTGGAAACTGTGTGGGCAAAAACAGTGTCTTTATATACCCACAGCTAACGACGGCTGACATTTATTCCCTTACTGTGCGCTGAACACTATTCTAAATGCCATGCATATACTAACACATTTTCTCTTCACGATGATCCCATGAGGTAGGTACTGTCAGCACCCATTTCTGCAGATAAGAAAACTGGCACAGAGAGGTTAAATTGCTTGTCCAGTATCACACAGCAAATAAGTAGCAGGGCCAGGATTCAAACCCAGGCAGTTTGGTTTGGAGCCTAGACACTTAGAAGGGCACCGTACTATCTCCTCAGTCTCTTGGTGGATCATGGTTTGTTTTATTGGGATGAAAAGAGCCAAGAGTGGTCTTGATGAACAAGAAGAGGTAGCCCCAATTTATCCGATTCAAAATCACAGTTTCCCTACTGGCTCCCACAAGAATCCTGTGCAAGTTGCAATAAAAACCAACATTCTTTCCTCTCTCCTTTCATTCTTCTATTGCTTCCCTCCTTCCTTCCCTCCCTCCCTCCCTCTTTCCTTTCTGATGTCCGTCCTTTTGCCTAGATTGGACAAGGCGTTTTCAGACGCTTGGGATTCAGAGCAAAGGTGACTCATCAGGCCTCACCAGTCTCTGCGTGGGGAAAGAGGCCCTAAGAAAATGATCAGCCCCTCTCCCCCTGAAGCAATGACCCACCCACCCTTTTCTGTGAGCTTGTGTAAGATTTTATTGAACCAGAAGAGCATCATTGCTTTTTATAAGACATTGAACATGACTGCGATAGATGGCAAAGATGAAGCTGGATAATTTGGACAGCAATACTTTAGTATATACTGGCAGGAGTGCTGGCCTCCCTGGCCATCTTCAGCGAGGGATGTAGCAGTCATAATGGGGTCTTTTCTTTCTCCACTGGAGGGGGCCTTATCCTCCATAGGTTCTCTCCATCAGGACCCAGGGCGATATATTTCTCACTGTCAAAACTAGGAAGGGCCATACCTCTCAGGACCAAATTAGTAGGCTTTCGGGTCATGATAGAGAGATTTTCAGGGGCTAATCTCATCTTTAATTTTATTATATATTTTACACATTATGTTCTTCTGACATAATTTAGTTTATCTTTCTGTTTCATTATTATTGTAAGTAGCCTAGAAATATTTACTGAGTGCCATGCAGAGGTTGTCAACGTAAATAAATATGTATGTATTAAAGCACTTTTCAAGCATCTAACTATTGCCGTGGATTAAATGGTTTATGCAGAGTCACAACCAGGGAAAGGAGTGAAGCCAGGTCAATGCACAGGTCACCCACCCTATGACACAGCCTCTAATACCTGCCTCTGTGCACAGTCAGTGCACACTTGCTTCTGCTAATTTCGCAAGAGTCCCTTGACCCCATGTCAGTCTAGTCTCTTTAAGCTGAAACACATTTCTCAGCCACAGCTCTGGGCAGCTATTTCCCAAACTGAAGAACTTATTCCTGAATGTCATCTTCCAGAAGACACGATGAAAATAAAATGTATATGTGCAAGAGTGAGTATGTGTACACATTCCTGTGTATGTTAACACAATGTCCTTCAAATGACTTCTCTATTTATGTCTCTGTTTACTTTGATCAATTCTACTTGCCCCACTCATGCCCATTTCTGTCTACTTTTCTTGCCTGTGTTCTCCCTTTCCTTGAAAAGCAGCAGCAGTGAGCACTAGAGGAAGATCAGGTCTAACAGGAAACAAATGAGCAGTACTGTACAGCCACTACTGGAGAGAAAAGAGTGAGGAGAGCAAAAACCCAGTATTACCAGCAAAGGAAAGTCATTCTCTTTGGTAGCGGAGTTAAGGAAGGAGGAGGAGCTGCGCAATGGTGTGATGGAGAGAGGTGTTTTATTAACAGGATATCTCAATATGCATTGAGGTACCTTGTCTGCCAGTCAGCCTAGCTGCTCCCTGGACCCAAGGAAACCTGACATGGTGCATGTCCCCACAGTCCTTCAGGCTGTCCTTCCCCTGTGGTCGGGAGAAGCAGCCCCAGGCTTTGCAGGTCAAAATTGGCAAACAGAGAGCTCAGTCCTGGCCTCATTTCTTATTTTGCCCCTAGATGCTCCCAGCTCTTGATGCATCGTGGGGACCGTACAGGGGACAGGCTGCATCCCTGTGGCCGCTGGCAGCCTTCTCCTCTCCAATCAGGCTGGGAAGAGAGCTAATTGTAAGAATCGCTCACAGGTGCCTTGGCCGGCACTCCTGCCAGCCTCATGGATGCAATAATGGGTCTTTGTGCAGTGTGGGCCATTACTAACAAGGGTAACTAAATCATTCATTTCATTAGCAACGGGGTTTGGCAGATAATTGTGCAAGAGGCAATTATCAGTGATGCATATTCCAGGAAGGAGTGGGGTTCACTGATTTTCAACAGAGCTGCCAGGAGAAATATGAGACAAGGTTTAAACCACCACTGGGCCCTCACCCCTAGGATAGCCACTCTTTAAAGCCTGTGGCTTTATGGCTTTATGGTCAGAACTAAAGACAGTCAGAGAGAAAGAGAGAGAGAGAGAGAGAGAGAGAGAGAGAGAGAATGAATTTGCTTCTTGCACAAAGATTCCTTAGGTGACCTTGACTTATCTCCTATGTAACAGAATGAGGCTCCAAATTTCATCATTCTCCATCTCTGCCTCACCACAGATCTGGTCTACATTAGCCCACCACAGTAGTCTTTCTAGAACACTAATTTTTGCCATGTTAGAAGATGGAAAAAATTCATCTATGGGTTTCAAGTTCAGCTCAGACTAGTACCAAGATCCTTCTGAAAGAATCAACAGATGAAAAGGTAAACAAAAGGTGCTGTATGCATACAATGGACTATTACTCAGTTGTAGAAAAGAGTGAAGTGCTGATATAGGCTGCAACATGGATGAACTGTAAGAAGTTAAATGAAAGAAGCCACGCACACAAGACAGCATATTGCATGACTCCATGTGTGAGAAATGTCCAGAATAGGAAAATCTATAGACACAAAAAGATGAGTGGTTGTCAGTGCCCCAGGGCAGAAGAGAGGGAATTAAGAGTGATTGCCAATGGGTGTGAGGTTTTGTGTGTGTGGTGATAAAAATGTTCTGGAATTAGATAATGATGATAGTCACATAATTCTGTTAATGTTCTAAAACCACTGAATTGTACAGTTTAAACAGGTGGATTTTACAGTATGTGAATTCAAAAAACAATCTTTTCTGAACTCAAGGCAGAGGGTCAGGTGGCACCTGCCAAGTGCTGGACTTGTGGGGACAGGGACAGTTTTCGCTGGCACTGGGCTGTTGGCACAGCCCTGGAACAGGACTAAACAGCCTCCACTGAGATTCACGTCATGTTCCCTTCAAGGAGTTCTTTGAGGCCATTCACAAAACCAGTGCATGTTTCAAGTTAGGATAACAAAAATGTACCCGTTCTTTCCAACAGTTCTCCTATTGGTTAGATGATCAAATCAGCTCCAAATTCTGAACAACCCTTCCCTCCATGCCTGTTCTGATTTGCAAAGGAAGGTTCTGAGG